GGTGAGCTCTGGTGTTCCTGAGAGCCAAACAGACCTTCAGTAAATCATTGTCTTACACTGAGGCTTGTCTGGGGTGTGTGACAGGAATGGCTGGGCTGTGCTGGGAGGTTCAGGTGGAGCTCAGGGCAAGGCTCTTCCCCCAGAGGGTGCTGGCACTGCCCAGGCTGCCCAGGGCAGTGGTGGGGTTCCCATCTCTGGGAGAGTTCAGAAAATGCATGGATGTGCACTTAGTGGCTGGTCTGGTTGCCAATGGGATATTTGGTCAGACTTGGAGGGCTTTTCCAATCTGCATGATTCTGTGATTCCAAGGTTTGTAACTTCCATTAGTCCTTGATAAGTTAATGTGTATATCGTTAAGATAAAAGGAAAAAAAGGAAAAAGTAGAGCTGGATTGAAATATTGCAAAGCCCTGGGTTATCCTGATTCATGCCTATTACTGTAATTGCATTTCAGCTGCTTTGAACATTTAATGGCCAATTTCTACAACTCTGCAATTTAGTATTGCAGGTCTCTTTTTTTTGATTATGCTGACATTTTCCTCAGCCATCTTATTACTCTTTCATTTTATTCTATTTTTTAAGTATCGTTAAGAGTGCTGGTTGTTCAGGGTTCCCTGGCCCCTCTGACCTGTACAGAGCAGCATTAAACCCTCTTTGGTGTCCCTTGGAAAAGCAGGGGACCTCACCTGGTTTGGGTGTGGGCTGACTCCTGTGTGAGTGGGACAACAAAGCAGATCCTGTCCCCAGCCCCAGCTGTCATTTGGGACTTTGAGGTGGGATTTGAGCAAAGCCAGGAGCTGTGGAAGCCTTGGTGCTGTTTGGAAAGCTGGACTGCAGTGTCCATGACAGCCAGCAAGGAAAACACACTGACCTCCAGCAGCACAGCCCCGGGGCTGCTCCAGCCTTCCTGTTCTCCTCCTGGTGCTTTTTGTGTGGCTCAAAATGAAAAAGCTGCTGTTGTGTCTTGTCACCCTCTGAGCAGGAGCAGCCTCCCCACACAGCCAGAGCCAGGAGGGGATCCCTGGGGAGCTGTCACAGGAACAGGGCACTCGTCCTGTGACATCTGACCATCCTCACCCTCACCTTCAGTGCTGAGCAACTTCCTCATGCCCATGGATCACCCCCGGGAAGGAGCATTTCAATAAAAGCGCATTTTCCAAAGATTTTTTCGTGGAGAAATTCTGCTCCTCCACATCTGATCTGAAGCCTGCTTACCCTGTACCTTCAGATGGCTCTGGACTGATCCTTGAGAAATGGAATTTCAGCAGAACCAGCAGCCAGCTGACTTTAATGCTTTGCCTTATCTGTGCAAGACACATCGGCGGTTTCCCACAGAAAGCTGTGATTTCCATTAAGATTTCAGATTTAAATTTTACCATCATGAAGTCTTGAAGGTCTCTGGCACGTTGCAGGTGAACAGATGCAGGGGTTTTTTGCCAGATAAATCCATACAAATAGTGTGTCTGCTTATAATTATTTAACTGGGTTATGCAAGTAGAGTTAATATCTCCAGTTTTGGGCAAGGGCTCCAACAGCTCATGGTGCTTTAGGAAATCAAATAGGGAATACACAGTTGGTAAGGTTACAAAAAACACCCCAAAAAGAGGAATAGTGACTCAAAACAGCTCGATGACACATTCAGAGCCCACTGAGTCACCTGGCATCTCACCAGCACTGCTCTGAGGAGGGTTGGCACAGGAGGGGACATAAACAGATGCCTTTGCAAGGGAATCATATTTCAGTTGCCAAGTGTTCTCCTCCAGGAAAAAGAACTGGAGCAAACCTTGGGCCGACATCATCACTGGGGTTTGGTTCTGGTAGGCTGTTCTGCACAGCGTGTTGGTGCTGGGACTCCGGCTCCAAGCTCTGACAGGTGCACTGATGTTTGAGAAATAGAAACAATGAATATTTCATTTAAAAAATTACTAATTCAACAGAATGGGGGAGACGGCAGGTTCCAGACAGCCCGCGGTGACATTTGCAGCGTGAATCCCTAACAGGCAGCTCTGTGCGAGGGGAGC